GGTCAAGTTCAAAGGCAGGTGGAACGTTTATTCCACCCAGGGTGACCACTACAATGAAGTCAAACAATATATTAAAACTTTTAGACATTCTGTAAATATGAAAGCTATTAAAACCTGTGCCTTATGTGATCTCTTCAAAGTCTGTGTTTAATGTTATTTTAAATTGTCTCTAAGCTTGTAACCCCCTGGTGAATGTTTTACTGTTTTGTATTTTGTTCTGTATTTTGTTTCTGATAATAAAAAAGATTTTCTGTAAGGACATTTATTAGGAGGTGACCTCCCCAAAAACTGCAGAAATGACTGTTGTATTAAAAGAATGAATGGATGTTAAATTTAGGATGCACTAGTCCAGCTGTTTCAGTTTATATACATATATCAAGGCTGCACAAAGCTTTTCCCCAAAATGAAAATCTGTCTGAGGGCTGCGGCCAAATGTAATATTGGTTTATATGGATAGTTTTTATTTTTTACAACAACAAGCTGCAATGAGAACAATGAAAAATGAAATAAAAGTAACAACTTTCTACTTCTTGTCTTTTTTTTAAATGTAAGGAGTAGAAGTAAAAAGTAGGCTGAAAAATAATTACTCAAGTACTGATACCCAAAAATTCTACTTATCGGTAAGTACAGTAACAAAGTATTTGTACTTAGTTACTTTACAACTCTGTAGCAAAACAATAGCTAAAAAAGTAAAATAGGCTAAAACTAGCAAAACAATAGCTAAAACAGAAAAAGATAGGCTAAAACTAGCAAAACAATAGCTAAAACCAGCAAAGGATAGGCTAATAAAACTAATACGATATCAGAATTTTATATATTAATTAAATTCACTCTACCTTGGAGGCACAGTTTATATGGATAGTTTTTTTAAGCAAAAATGAAACAAAAGTAACGACTTTCTACTTCTTGCCGTTTTTAAAAACGTAAGGAGTAGAAAGTACAGATAATTGTGTGAATACTTCTACTTCTTGCATTTTCACACAATTATCTGTACTTTACTTAATTATTTTTCAGCCTACTCTGAAAACAAGTAACACATATCAGCAATCACAAAGTCACGTTAAGTTTCTCACCGAGCTGGAGGTGACTAGGACCAGATTGGACGTGGGGTTCCGCAGGAGCACCGCCCCATTGGTGGTGGCCCCGTTGATGGGGACGGGGGCCTGCAGGCCTGGTGGAACCGGGTGCTGCGGCTGGTTCTGGTCCCGCGACCTGCTCCTGTCTCTTCTCGCCAACGGGCCGTCAGAGAACTTGGCCAGGGGGACGTCGGGGTTGCGGACGATGACCGGGGAGTCGCGGAGGGGGACGATGCGGCGGGGGGAGGGTTCCTGAGGCAGCGGGGAGGGAGGGGTCGGGGAGACCAGCATGGGCGGCGGCGTGGAGGCAGCGGAGGAGGAGGGCCTGCTGGTGGCGCTGCGAGGACGTGGGAAGGACAGCGAAGACTGACTCTGAGGGGAGAGGACTCTGAAGGCAGGGTCCCCCATGATGGCGCCACCTACACCCATCTGTTGGTCCTGTTTGGTCTGGTAGTCCTGAACAGCAGGCAGGGGAGGGGGCGGGTGGGTTTCCAGCTTCCTCTTGCTGGGGCTCATGGGGACTGTGAAGGTGAGGTTGTTCTGAAAAGTCGGCACGATTCCCGAATGGTGGCGCTCTCTCTCAGAACCTGGCGTACTCATCTTAGTGCCACTGAGCTGCCGATGGCGGCGCGGCGTCAGCGAGGCGGGAGCAGTGATGGGACTGAAGTTGGCGGGCCGGAAGCCGAACAGAGGGGAGGGCGAGGGCGACGAGAACGGCGACTGGTTCGAAATGGGGGAGAACGACGGCGTGCCAGAGCGAGAGCCCCCCAGGGAGACCAGCATGGTGGCCGCCTCGCACTCGTCGAAGTTGAACTCCTGGGGGAGCAGGGAAGGGAGGACCAAACGGGGGCGGGAGTCTCCCCCCCGGCTGCTGGCCTCGCTGCTTTCCCGTGACGTCTCGTCCCACTCGAACTCCGAGCTGGCTCGCCCGCCGCTCATCCTCAGGTCGGACGGCGTCAGAGTCCCTGTGCTGCTGGCCCCGCTGCGCTCCCGCCCGCTGCTGCTGGCCTCCATTTCCTTGGTCCTCATGGACAGGTGGCGGGAGCAGTACCCCCTCCGCTGGGACTCTTTGGAGCACCCGTCTCGGGAGCACAGCCTCCTCCACTGCTTCCCGTTGAACTTCTTTCGAATGCCCGTCGGCGTGCACACCACGTCCCCCTTCTTGTACTTCTGCTGGGCGGCGGTGAGCGGCGTGCGGGAGCGTGAGGAAGAGGAGGAGGTGGAGCCAGATCCAGACCCGCCTCCACCACTGGCAGAACCCCCTCCGGAGGCTTTCTCCACTCTGGAGGAGTTGGCGGAGGAGGGGATTTGGGAAAGAGGGGGGATCTGCTGGGCAGTGATGACAGCGCCGGGGGCAGCACTTGTGGCGTCCAGACCCAACAGGACATTTGAAGGAGGGGGGTGGTTCAGGGCCAGGTGGGAGGGGATCCCGATGTTCCGCACCACAGGAAGGTGGGAGTTGATGTAGCCAGACGGCGGCTTAGAGACTATCGGACGATGTTGGGAAACGGCCAAGGGTTTGGCACCAGGTATGAGCGTCCCCATTGAGACCATGTTGAAGTGGGACACCTCCATGTCCTCCTCGGGGGTGAGCGGCATGTACGGGTGGTGCGGCGGATGTTTCGCAGTGTTCTCTTGTTTCCTGTGCCCCCCCTGAAGCTCCCTCTCCAAGTCCTTGTCGAGCTCCCACTCTCTGCCATGAGCCAGGCTGAGCACGGGTGTGGGAGTGATGGGGGAGGTGATGCCGTGGCCCGTTGTGGAAACCGGGACGATGCCCGGGTACAGCATGCCCCTCCTGAACACCGAGCCCACGCCGGGGGTCATTCCTCGACTCAGGCGACACACCTCCTGCTCCACGTCGATCTCCTCCCTCTCTTCGTGCTTCTCCTCCTTCTCTCGGACTCCCTCTCCTCCTTCGTGACCACCGCCCGAGGGCAAATCCAGGTCCCACGGTGGAACCAAGAGCCTGAGTGTTTGTCGAGAGACCCAAATGGCCTGGGTGGAGCCTCTGCTGTCCTCGTCGTCCACAGAGTGAGGCGGTCCCTCAGAAAACAGGACGCGGTAGCGATTGGCCACTGCTGGGTGCGTGTCCACCTCGGTCACCACTCCCTCCCGGTACCACTGCCATTGGCCCTCCACGCCGTCATCGTTGCCGAAGGGTACGCAGACACGGGTGCCAGTGGGTATCGTGTGGACGCCTGGTGGCTGTGCGTCCAGGATGATGTCCACCACCCCCGGGGGACTGTCGTGTCGATAAGGATAACGGCACAGCGTCTTCTCCCCGTTCAGCTGAACCTCCAGACACCCAAACTCGCCGCTGACCTTCCGGACCACCCCGGCCCGGAACACAGACCCCGAGCTCTTCCACTCGTCTCTCATTTCACCTCCTTCCTCCTCAGAACTGGGTCTCCTGAGCTGGCGGGCGAGGATACGCTGGTTTTTCAACCCTTTGGCTAAGGTGTCCGACAGCGCATCTGACAGGCTGGGCGCCAGGCGTGTGGACGTCTGTGACACAGCATCGCCGACGACTTCAAGGTCCGCCGAGTGCTCGGAGGCCGTGTCTGTCGAGGAGCAGCGAGGTAAGGGGCTGGGGGCCACTCGCTCCGTGTCCATCGACCCTTCACCTGGCTGCTCGCCTCTGAGGGGAAGGGTCGGGGGTCCTGAAGAACCCTGAGGACCTTCAGAGTGTGAGATGCTGGCTTCGCCTCCTGAGCTGGCTGACGCCTGGTGGAGGACCCCGGTCAGAGACGGAGGGGGCGGGGTGCTGGATGTGGGGTTGCTGTGATTGGCTGAGCAGTGTTCCGAGGTGTACTTCTTCTTGGGAACCCGGGCCTTGAAGGTGGCCGTTTTGCGGCTGGAGGCGGGGTTCGGACTGTTGTTGGCGCTCGGCGTGCTGCTGTTGCTGCAGCTGCTGCCGCCGCTGTCGAAGTGGCTGGTGGTGCTGCCGCCGCTCTGGGCCGACCTCCTGGACCGATCGTCGGAGGATGCCAACAGCTTCCCGGAGTCCATCCCAACCATCGTCTCAGGCAGCCCCTCGCCGTCCGACGCGTCCCTCAGCCTCACTGAACCAGCCTGGGAGGACTCCGAGTGCGAACCGGATGAAAAGGAAGAGGGCGGCGTTCGGTTTTGAGGGGACCTGCTTCTGTCTCTGTTCTCATCCGAGTCCCTCTTCTCTCCTCCTTCAGAGGCGTCCCCGGCACCCCGACGCTTCCCCCCTTTGACCCGGGTGGACTGAGGAGAGCGCCGGCCCTGCTTTTTTATCGGCTTCATCTTTTCGTTTTTTTATACAAACAATCCCTTATTTATTTATTTATTAATCCCAGAGAATGTCCTTGACGTCCCTCGTTTTGTTTTTCCCACTTCCTGCCTAGATTTTTTGTCCTCTGTCAGGGCCTCTTCTTTCTCATCCTGCCTCGTCTTTGGTTGCACGACTTCAGCGCTTGCCCACCTTATTCCTGAGACTCTGAAAGAAACAGACAGCGTGGGTTACAAACAAAGCCTAATCACTGTATAGAAAATGAACAGCCGAGGGAAAGGAGTGATAAATTAAAGTGTGACGTTTCTGATAATAAAAGCAAAGTTTGATCACCTGATTTGAATGAAGCTCACAGGAAGTAATCACAGACAAAAATAACAATAACTCGATTAAATTTATAAATACTGAGCTAAAATTCTGCGACGACGTAGCTGAGATTCCCCCCAACACATAGTCTTTGTGTAGACTTTTAATTTCAAGATGTGCTAAATAATGCACCATTGTACCAGAGTAATCTGCATATTCATTACATAACAGGTCCTACTCACATTACACGAAGCCTGCGCCCTTAGAAGGCGCACAGAGAAAACAGGAGGCCATATTGTAGGGTAAACACAAAGTCAGCTCACAGCACAGCATGGAAATAGTGAGGAGTGCTCTGCCCAGACAAGCCTCTGCTCTGCGTGCACTCCTTTACTCGCAGAGTTCTTGGCCGGGGCAGTAGAGGCGGGGGAATTCCTCCTTCACACACATTCTGAAACCCTCCCTGTTTCTCTCTCCGTGCCTCTCTCCGAGGCGACCTTTTATCGGAGAGTTTCAAAGCGGAGTCAATCCGCCCCTACGAACTCCATTTCCTGTGGAAGACCATTACCTAACTTCCCGTTACTTTATTCCTCCCTCTCTCTTTTGCCACTGTTACACTTCCCTCCTGATCCCCTCCTCGGCCTGACTGCAGACATCGATTTTCGCCTCTCGTCTCCACTTAGTCTCCATTTTCACTTGGTGCTGCAATCATGCAGAAAAGCAGAATGATCGTCGATGGGTGCAGGACTCATTCAGAGCGTCCTCATTCACACTTTTCTGAGTAAAAACAGATTCTCACGACTTGTTGAGCTGTTATTTAACCAGGTTTTTGTTTGTTTGTGAGACTGCAGGACTCGTTTATTTGAATACAGCTGCAGTCAGAAGTTCGCATAAACCAATCAGGAGCAAGAATTAATTAATTTAGAGGTTTAAATTATTTATTTTGTTGTGGATTTTCTCTAATCCACACACATGCTTAAATACATCTTGACCAGACCGAGGTCTGGTGAATTTCCATCAGTGATCATGAGCATCAACATCCAAACGTGCGCAGGAGGCAAATTAAACTATCACCTATTAAGGCTTTTATTTTGACGGGTGCTTTGTGTTAAATAAGCTAAACTTTTCATTTAGTTGTTCTTACATAATAATGGCAGCATTCTTTAGAGCACAATAAAATATATTAATAATAACTTTCAAATGCAGACAAAAAACAAACTGCTAACGATACTGCAGGTTCATCGTCAACAAGACAGCAGAACTGAAACTGTAACTCATCTGTTGAAGGCTGGGCGATACGGCTGAAAATGTATCATGATATAAAAGTTTCATCTCAGTCGATATTTATTTTTTTTATATTTACCTATTTGAAATAAGGATCAGGAGAAAAAAGGCTCATTAATTCTGCCAAACTGGTGACGTGACCTTTCCTCTTTTATCCACAACTTCCTCTTGAGTTTCTGTTGATATTATCACGTGTTTATCGCAATATATATCGTTTTCTATTGATATTACATGTTTATCGCGATACATTTTGTCATTTTCTATAGATATTATGTTTATCGCAAAATACAGTATATCGTCAGTTTTCTATAGATATTGTGTTTATCGTGATATATATCCATAGTGTTTTCTATTGATTATTAACACATCTATCATGATATATATCATAATTGTTTTCTATGGAAATGTTTCTCGCAATATATATTGTCATTGTTTTCTATAGATGTTATGTCTACTGTGATATATATCCGTAGTGTTTTCTATTGATTATTAACACGTCTATCATGATATATATCAGTGTTGTTTTCTACTGATATAGATCACGGGTTTATCGCGATATATATCATTATCATTTTATTGCCCAGCCATATATTTTTAATTTTGCAATATATAATAAAGGATTTGAAAAACACTGCAATGTCATTTTCTTCCAATATCGTGCAGCCCTGGTGCAGGAATATATTTGAGTCTGTGAGGATCAGAGAAAACCCAAAATAAGTTCAAACTTGTTTTTAAAATGTGTCGAAGCGGTACGATGAGTGTATGTAAAGTTCACCTGTACGAGCCTCCAGAGGAGCAGGGAGATGTTAACTTGTAAACAAGCGAGAGGATCAAAACGTTATGTTTGTCTCAGTCCTGCTGCGATATTCTGTCAAAATGTTCTGTCTCAACGTCCATCATCCACGTCAGCCCGTCTGTGTCTGTCCTCGTGCCTCCATCCATCCTCCCACGGTCTGCCTCTCAGCTCGTCTCTTCTGCTCTTCCTGTTAGTCTGAAGGCTCGCATTCATTCAGCTCCTTTTAATATCAGCAACATCATATCGGTGAGGAAGAAAGCCACTGTCAGAGATGAGTGCCGCCTGTCTCAAGGCCACACACACACACAGCAAACATTATGCAGTGATGATAGTGCGAACTGAGCTCACAGCCACTCGGCCTCTAGGTAAATCCCTATTTAGGACAGACGGGCGTAGAGCTTCTGTCATAAAATTATTTGGCAGCTGGCCTTACTTGGTCACGATGGAGGTATGCTACATGTGTTTACTCAGTAGTGCTCAGAGTACAACAGCTGGTGAACTGACGCAACGCGCGCTGGTCTGGGTGAAACACGCAGCGGGTAACAAGTTTAATCAGATTGGATTTTTGAAGAACACTTGTGCTCTTTTATCAGCTGACAGAAAGACACGGGCTGCATCAAGTCACATGAGGCGAGCAAAAACACCAGCAGCTGCCTTTCTGGATGAAAAATTCAATTTGGATCAACTTTTAACAGCCTGGTTGTATAAAACCAACTCTTACATCAAGTTAGGATAAACTGAACAAAAACATCTCATTTAGATGGTTTTTCTAAGCAGCCAGAAGTTTTTTAGCTGAATTTTTAAACCATTTTTAGTAAATCACCTAACTTAATTCTATTAATCCACAAGCTTAAAATAATAAATAACCAAATAATCCATTTAAAATAGGATCTTTAGGCACATTTTTTTCTTTTGTGTCATTTAGATATCAAAGATTACACCATTTATGTCTGTCAAACAGTATTTTACCACCAATAAGGTGATTTCTTGGATGAAAACATGGCATAAAACCCTCTAAAAATGTTGCTAACGATATATTTTTACCATTAATGTTACAAGAAACCAAATCAGAGATCATTAATAAGTTTTAAAGTTGTTAAAACTGTTTGTGTCGTCATTATTTCTTCATTTATCAGCAAAGTTTAAATGTTAAACCAACAACAAATGGGGGTGTAACAAAACATCATATATAATTTTAATGATTAATAACTCCATTACACTGAGGCAAAATGAAAACACCGGTCCATATCATCATTATACTCAGTGTAGATCAATATATCAATCGCAGACATGTGAAGTGAATTAAAGAAATGCGGTGATGTCATCCAAACAAATCGATACAATATCATATCTTGATACAGCTGCTGATTTACTACCCTGGTCACCAAACTGTCACTGTTATTTTGTGAGTCAGAAGCTAAAATGTTTGGGAACYGCTTGGGTTCTTAGATCATTTTCTGTTTCTTAAAAACTTAAAAAATAATCTGTTTTTTTGTGTTTGGGTCATTTTTTCTTGGTAGTAAATCTAAAGCTGTTGGAAAAGCCTGATTATTTCCCTTTAAATGGAGCCACGTGCTCAGAGTCCTGACCTCAGCCCCCCTGAACACCCGTGGACCAGCCTGGGTGACCGACAATAAAAACGACATTACGTCTCGTTTAAAGGGCTCAACCCACAAACTCAAAACAAATATATTTTCCTAACAAATGTGACCCCATTTAAAGTGCCTGTGACATTAAGTTTTTGTAATAACAAGAATGCATTTTTTGAAAGAGAACATTAATAACATACTGCAAAACAAACGTCATGCTGCTGAGACAAACGGTTGTTGAGATATTCACATGTTCAGTAACAGGAAGTGATGTCAAAGGGGAATRTCTGSTTGTAAACAGTGTGTTGTTACAACAGCTAACAGCAGACTGAAGAAAATAATCTGATTTTCTTTAGATTATTTTAATCAGAAAAAGATGACGAAGAGTCAGAGTTCAAATAACGTTTCACTAAATAAAAAACAAGTTTTCTTTCTTGATGGATCCCCCTTTGATGTCACTTCCTGTTTCACTTTGGCTGAACCAAATTCAATAGAAAATATGGCAGTTATTTGACAAAATGGGTAAAACCACGTATTATGCAGTTTCTTAAATATAAAGATGTTTTTGACTTTTGTATTTGAAGGATATGCATGTCGCAGACACTTTAAGGTACTTAAATGAGGATTTGTYGCAAAAACAAAGAAATAATCAACCAAACACAAATTTCCTTCATTTATCTCTTTGAACCAAACCTGTACAAACTGTACAATACGTCGTGAATTTGTTGTCAATGAGGTGTACAGTAGCCCTGTGATGGACTTGCGACCTGTCCAGGGTGTACCCCGCCCCTCACACTGTGACTGCTGGATATGGGCACCAGTGACCCACG